CATGAGCTGCCCCAGAGAGGAAAGTGTCGTAGATGTAGTAGCTCATCATAAAATGGCGTAAGCCATAAAACTGTCCCCAGTAGAACTCAAACAGCTCTGAAATGCTGCCCATGTTACAAGAGAAGTGTGCTTTGCACTTTAATTAAGTCTTGCATACTTCACTATTTAGTTTTCACCCAGTTCTTATAGCAAGGGGCTCTGGTCTTCACGCGGCCGCAGCTCTTTTCCCAGACATGATATGGCCAGACTGGGGGTAAGAATCTCACCCAGCAATTTGTCACCACAGGATTATGCTTCCAACTATAATGAGAGATGAACCACAGAGTGTAGCAGTATCAATTAGCAGAGTACGTCATCTAAGTAAGGCAGGCTGCTCCTCCTCTAGCCTAGAAGCAGCAGCAAGACATGCACAAAACAACACTACCCTTTAAACAATTACTTTTCTTCCTCATAGCTCATCCTGGAAAGCAGAACTATCATGATACAATGGCCACTGAGATTGAGAAGGGGGCAGAAGATACATAGATATGGTTAGAAATCACACATATAACTGACAGGAATGAAAGACTATTGAAAGCTGCATTTTTCTCAACATTATGAGCAACCTACATTATACTGTTAATTTCTTTGTGCTTTCCACGTGAGAATTTGGAATCTGTAACCCAGACAACTTAGGGCACTGCTTTATTGTCAGGGCTTGTCCACATTTGAAATTCCAATTCCATAGAAAAAAACTTTAAAAAAAAAAAAGTTTTACTTTGCTTTTGGTTCCAAATTAGAACTTCTAAAATACACTTCAGAGCAAAAAGGTACCAGTGGGAAGGACCAGCCAGAAGAAAGGGGAACAGACTGAAACTGTTTCAACCTTTATCTAAACAATTTGATAAAATTAGATTTCCTTTTGATAATGATTTAGATTTATTTGACATTATTGTAATATGATGCGATCTAACAAAAGTTCAAACATGTAGACTGTAACTACATCATTTTAAGGAAAAAAGTTAAGTATTTTTAATTATAAAAGGAAATACAGTGATTGATGTTTTAAGTAGATATAAGTAATCAAAGGCAATACTCCCCTGCAACTTAAACACACTGCGGGAAACAGCTACAGTGCTGTTGCAGATATGGGAGGGAAGGGAAAAGCATCCTCTCTTCCATCACATCACACGGTAGATACAACACATCAACTGTGCTATAAGAAGAGCCTACAGTTCCCTCTGTTCTTCTAGCTATAAAAGCTACCCCACTGTACTGTAAAAATGTAACAGGAAAAAAAAAATCAGACTGTAAAAATCAAATGAAAAGGTCATGTCATGTCAGAAGACTGGACACCAGGGGCATCCTTTGGAAAGGTTTTTCACAAAGGAGTGGGAGAGCCAGTGTTAGCTGGCCTGCTCTATCACTTTACTTCATTAAAATTCCATTATCCACCACAGGACATGGACAAGATCCTATTCCCTGGTGGAGAATTGAGAGGGAGAGTTTGGAAATAAGGCAAAAAAGAAAGAGATTTTTTAAAAAAACTACAGAATATTCAGAAGCTTAAGGGAAAACGTGGCCTTGCAAATCAATATGTTAGCAGTTCACGGCAATTGCTGATCGAAATTCTAAATAAACATAAAATGTTTGTGTGTGTGCATTTTGTTTAATATCTGTTTGTTTGCGTCTCTCAGTTTTGAAAACTTAGGTATGACGGGATCAGAGTTAATGGAATAAATAGTAAAGTGTTGTTATTCTTGACTGAACCAAAAATTCTTTTCCTTGCTACAGAAGCAAACAGTCCAAAGAAGCAAAAGTCATGAGGGCTTCTTGTCTTAAACCACAGTTTTACCAAACAACTCTGTACATGATACATAAATAAGCCTTTGCATTTTAAGTGCACACAATTACAGTGTAGTAAGCCCTGTTAATTCCTTGGAAAATTTTGCCCATAAGGAATATAAAACAATTACCTTTAACACAAAGTTATTTTGGTATTTCATTAGTGTTACCAAAACAGAGAAGTAGAAGAATGGCATTTTTATTTTTCTGGCTAATTTCCTAGTTCATCCCATAAAAGGAAAAAATTAAGGAAAAAAGGAAAAGAAGGGAAGAATAAATACAGAAATATGGTTCTTACCCTGAAGAGCGGCAGTCTGGTTTATTTCTTTCAGAGCGATCTGTGAGAAAGGAGGCATAATATCAGCACAAAAGTTGGATGTTCTTTAGCAATACTAGTACAGAAGTCTTAAAAGAACTGTGACACTGTATGACTAGCAAAACGAAAAGCTGATTCTGTTATAATACTGTTTTTCTGCACTGGACTACTCTGCCTGAGACCAAGTAAAATTACTGCAAGTTTAACGTTTGTTAAAATTCCTCTACTCAAAACACAGTGTATTTAATATTTTGTATTAATGCTTTGGAAGCTTCCCCTCCCTTTAGCTGAAATGAATAGGACTTTAGTTTAGGGTAAAAATAAGGGAGAGAGAAGAGGAAAAAAGAAAAACCACGGATTACTCAGCGCAAAAAAATCATTCCATGAATCACGGCTGGCAGAGTTCCCTGACAGGATGGGAGAAAAATCAGCAGTTGGTTGCAGCAACATCTGCAAATACACTGAATCCAGTGCAGCCCCATCATTAACTCTTCAACTTCTGGGTGTTCTAGATACTGAATCTTCCTGTGGTTTTAGAAAGGTTTTGTTTATCCTGTGTGTATTTCAAGTAGCCTAGCTGCACTAATGAGATTGACCTGCAAATAAAAACCTACACAGTTCAATCGTATCAACTCAGATAAACTGCTGCTGAACAATTTATCAGTTGCTAAAGTCATCTCTAGATAGATTTCTAATTTTTTTTTTATTTTTGAAAGCTCTGATATGCAAAGAAAGTATAAAATACTTCTCCTAAGAGTTAAGATTATCATACAAGCATTACAAAATAACCACTGTGTTGTGTTATTAGAATTCACATATTATCAGTTATATTGTAAGTCCAGAATATCTATTACCACATGACTTTTGAGCTACCTGAAAGAAGCAATTGAGATTTGTGTACTCCTAAAATACATATATTCTAAAATTAGAGGGGGGTTTAATAATTTATTACAGAAAGATCCACTATGTAATTAGAAGGATATTCTTATAGTTATATATAATCTCCACTGACCATGGTAATTTTGCTTCTGATTCCATCTGTGTGTATTTTAAACAGAAAGCTATTTTTCCTGTGTTAGTAAACACTTTACTGAAAAGCTTGTCTATACAGAACAATAAGTCTTCCTAAAAAAATTTTCATACTCACAGATGGTATTTTTAATCTTAAAGCTCTGCATTTGAAATAAAATTTGTTCTCTTAATAGCACACATTTGTTTGTGCAGTTTTATCTCATGTACAGAAGAAATATTTTCCTCTCCAAGTTTTATGTGCTCATTTGATTATGTTTTCATTGAAGTGGTAAAAAACTATTGCATGTCAACAGTGTTCAAAGAAGTATCTAATGCTTTTTCCATCCATAGGTGCTCCTATTGAGCTGTCATAGCCACACAGTGTAATAATTTATTGTGTTTCTGACTCACAGTGATCTCCATTTCATCACACCGTGTGCTACTCTGTTAAGCTAGAAACAGCATGGTATAGCTCAAACCAGAGTTACAGCAACAAGTTGTTCAAACACACACAAAAAGGCTCTTTCCATCCTTACCATTTGTTCATGTAACCTCCTTACCTGTGAGCACTTGAAAAAAATAAGACTTCCTACTGAAATCTGCTTGCCATCTGTCACTTGTTCTCAGTGTTCCCTGTTATGTATGCAGCCACAATCTAACAGTATTCAGACAAAACCTTCCCACTTCTAAAAAGACCGTGTGAATAAATCAGTGAGAAGGAAGAAAAGGAGCCAGAGCACATGTAGACACAGAGCCTGAGAGCTCTCCCCCTCAGTCCACGTCCAGTTGGCGGATCCACCACAGCCCAGCCACACCGCTGCAACCTGCTCGTTCAGGAAATTAATGCAATTCCCTTTTCCCTTTTGTTTTATTGAAATGTTGAAACAGGAAATATTACCTTTGGTTTTACACATTATATTTACTGCTAAACTTAGTGAAAGCACATCATCCACATCTACACTGGTCTTACTAAGAAGAACAAAGGGAAATGTAATCCTACAAGCACGCAGTTAGCATTTTAAAGTAGAAACAAAACCTGCACCTGTTTAAGGTTATTGTGAACTTAATCATTTACATTTGATTTAGTATCAAGTGTAACAAGAGACTCAAAGAGCTGAATCTTTCAATCTAGTGCTTAAATTTTGCAATTCTAGATGCTGTTTTGGCATCACGTACAAGCACCAATTCGAGTAATGTCACACACCTCTAGAATATGAAAGCCCAGAAAGAACAGGCAAATCTTTTTTTTTTTTTTTTTAATACACACACACACACATATATATATATGTTACATTTAAACACAAACACATGCAGATCCCATTCCTGCATTCTGCAGGCAAATCCTTGGCTTGCAAAAGTTGGGTCACAAAACTGCATGCCCACAGCTGATTGTCTTTTACTTTATACATGTTACTTCAACAACTGAGAGATGTCTTTGTAATCTTTTCTAACAGAAATAAGCAAGAAGACCGTATAGATGCAAAGATCTGAAAATCAAATCCTGCACTACAGATTTTCCTCTATATCAAAGACATAAATTACTATAAAACATTATGGTACATGATGTCTTTCTAGCACAATACTGTATATCCTTCAATTCTAAACTCTGGAAGCCAAAACCGCGTGTCAGATTAGAGCAAACATTGAATGTTTGCTGGACTAGCATGCACAATGAACAAACAAGGCAGTCCACGCTCCGGCATGGGAAATTTACAGGAAAAAATTCCACTTCCAGTGACAGATACTACCTTCCAGACACAAGCTTCCACAGATGAGACACCAGTACTATTCTCCCTATCCTTGCGTCGCTAAAGTAATACAATTCCTTACTGTGTATGTAGCCGTAGTCAAATAGGCTAGGAATTCCTTAGCAGCTGGTACTCACAAGCTAGAGAACTGGATTGTTCGATTCTAAGTTTATTTTGGTTAATGAACTGTTCTTGAAAATCAGCATCATCCCCCTAACCTGATAGTTAGAGGAGAAGAGTGTGTAGTTCAGGCTTTGTGCTAGCATGGCAAATCTGTTCTCGATGTACTAACAACTACCCTAGAGGTGGTGCAGTGCTATCATCTCTCTAATTTTACTACTGCAGATTTTGCCAGCTAGTTCAGATAGCTCAGATAGCACAGACGTACACCACAGAGATGGTTCTTCCGCAGACAGAAAAAAGTTCTTTCTGCCTGTCCTCCAATCCACAATTCATATAGCCAGAGACTTGCAGTCTCTCAATCTGTAAGAACTGACCATCCTCCAACCTCCCGCAGTCCAGACTTAAAAGAGATTTTCTCCACCTCATACTAGCATCTACTCTTTACAAAACCTTTGCTGCCCTTATACAAATACAGCCAGTGCGGGAGAAATATATTATCCTTGTTCAGCAGCAGGATAGAGTGCAAGAAGTCAAGGAGCTGGCAGGTGGAGCAGACAAGGTGGAAGAAGTCAGAGACTCCTGGCCGAGATTGGGAAGACCGGCGCCAAGTTTTAAGCACTGCAGAAGAATCAAGGCAAACACCAGGAGACAAAGATCCACTATCCATACCACAACTGTTTGGCAAATCTAGTGTTTATTTACAAAATCGTGCTGTGTATATTTCATCAATAGCATGGACACATTATGCTTTTTTTCAGCATTCAAAGATTGAGCGGCAGACAGAAATGCCATGTTCCGGTTGCTTTTAGAAAGGGTCAGGTTTCTTTAACTGGTGATTCTCTTACCCTTCAAGCATGGGAAAATTATCTTCTTTGTTTGTTTGCTTTTACTATGATAGAACAGTTTTTCTTCTCAAGGAAAATATAAACATAACCATCAGGAGAAAAATAACTGACTCAACATTATTTCAGTTGCTCCACAAACTCAGAATAGCTTAAGCTTTTGCCAAAAAGACCACCAAAGCAGAAAACAATAGTTTTTAAGGCATTCACTCTTGTCTCTGGAAGACAAGCAAAGAAAAGGAAAAAGGCAACTCACACCAAACAGAGCCATCGTTTTTCTCTGTTTATTTTGCAAGCTTCTTCAAAGTATCTTGTTGCTAAGAGTGACTTCAACTGAAAAGTGTGCTCTTACTAGAAAAAAATTTAAGTATAAACATGAAATGCTGTTGAAAAATGCGTGGAAAGTTAACACACATGCTGCCGCTTCAACCCTGCAAAGCTACTGGGGAACTTCCAATGCAATTACCTCCCGACGTAGGTAGTTTCCTACTCTTAACCCCATCCCACAGCTTGATCTCTTTTAAAAGCTGAATTGGCTGAAGGGAGCACAGGGGGACACATAGCATTTCTGGGAAATACTGTATTTTTCATCTTAATTATGGGTCTTGAATTGAGCAGCCACCAGAGGGGGCAGGACATCATAACACTTTTCAGGAAGACATATAGTTAGAGCAATCAGCTCTCTCCATCTCTTGTTTTTAGCCCCTGATGGCACAGCAGTGGTTTCATAATGAAAAGTAGCACGAGATGCTTATAACAATATTTCTGTAACAATGGCAAACCTCTAGATAAACCAAGCAATGGGAACAGTGGACTCTTAAGCAGTGCTGGCAACACCAAAATACAGAATATACAGAGAAGTCATATTCTCAGAATAGGCAATTGTTGAAAGAGGCTATACAACTTGCCCTAATCTGAACGCATTAATCCCCAAACGAGCATACTTTTGTAAGCTTCCAGGCCTTAACAAACCTAGATGCTAAGATCAATGCAGCAACAACAAGGCATCATGTAGAAATGCGATGGCTCCTACCATTATTTTAGTAACGCTTATCTTGACTATTACCCATCTGACTATAGCTAAATGGTGCAACAGTCCCCGTTAGCCAACTGCCTTAGATGAAGAGCCCCAAATTTCCATTTCAAATTGCCAGTGTAGATGGGGCCCTCACTCAAACTAAACTGCACATTTTCTGGGAAAAAGATCTGCATTTGTGCAGGATTTTCAATGCTAGTTGCTTTATTTGCACTGAGATAAGCAATAACTGCCACTGATATTGCAATCTTTTTGTCTTCTGTTA